GAGAGCGAGCGACGTCGCCCGCACAGAGAAAACGGATATTACTACGGAAGGAGGGGGGGGAGGGAAATTAAAATACCGAAAACGAAAAAAAAAAAAAAAAAAAAAACACCGACATTAATAATCCTCCGGTCACGGGCCCGGGGCGAGCGGGCGGGACACGCACGCGTATATTATTATTATTATCGAAACCCATTATTTTCCCGTGCGCGTTTTCCGATACCCGAATTTCAATATTATAGAAAAAAAAAAAAAATCTCCGCGTCGTTTATTGCATGCAACGTTACGTTATCTCGCGTAAATTTCGTATTATTTTTATTATTATTTAATTTTTTTTTTTTTTTTCCTAGGCGCCGTCGCCGTATAAACGGTCCGCGGGGTCACGCGGCGGATCGGAGTGGGTGGAATGGGAGAAAAGGGATACATACGACCGGAGTTCTATTTTTTTAACCGTTTCATCTTTTCCGTTTTGTTTTGTTTTTTTTTTTTTATTGTATTGCACAGAAGTAATAATAACTGTACGGTTATATTATCGTTTCGAAATAGTATTTTCGCAAAACTCTCTCTACGTAAATAACAATATTATGTAGGCTTGCGTTTGTTGTTATCATCGTCGTGCGGTTTACAATACTCACGGCCACTCGGCTACATGATTATAATACACAATCGTACACACGATAGTAATTTTTCAATATTATCGTACAATTCCATCGACAAATCGTAGAGAGAAATATATATTTATTGTGTAGGAAAAAAAACGCTATAAGAAAAACTTTCCTACACTATTTTTGTTATCACGACGCCAGTAAACTATAATTATACAGCGGACGCTATTTATGACACTCACTTTGAGACGAGCTCAACGTGAGCCTTGTAACCGAACGAACCTCATAGGCATAGTGGATAAATAATAGAATTTTAAAGGTATTATAAAAAAAAAAAAAATATTACATTTTACACATATTACTTTAATTACTAATTGAACACAAATTGCAATGCAATATGCATTTATTTTTCCCAAAATCAACAGTATTTTCTGCTAAATTAAGTTCTTCGACTTTTTCGCTAAATAAACGTAACATACATTATCCGGATAAACGATCCTCAAACATTAAATAACCGCAAGTCAGTTTTTCACAGAAAATATTCACAGACGATCGGCTGTAGTGGTCGGTACCGACTTCAAATCATGTTCTACATCAATCATCGTATATTGTGATAATTAAGTATTGCGGAATTTTATTATGCCTACCGACTAGATATACCGAGTAGAGTGTATTAAAAAAGTATTTATAAATATAAATACGCTTCGGTACCAATAATGAATTTTGGGATTTTGATATGTTGAATTTGCAAATAATTTTTATGACTCGCTGGAAACCTAGGGGAGGGATTCATTCTCCGTTGCACCTCGTTGTGGGCGCTTCTGGTCAGGGCCGTTCCAAAGGATTTTAAGTCTAATAAGCGAACAAATCATATATCCGTGAGTCCTATGTCCACTGTACTATATTATTAACGTACGCATACACAGGGCAATCGACTAATGCCGGGTTGAAACAGGAGAAAACTGGAAAAATCGGTTCAGCGTGAAACAAATATTATCAAAGAAAATATATAAAGCCTATTTAATTATTTTACTATACAATTTCATATATATTGTTGACGGAGCGTCGCTATCAACTAAACTCCACTCAGAATCGTATTTTCGTAAGCAATAGTTTATCGTTGCTTACATGTATTCATTAAATTATCGATGACAGTGGCTGCACCCGACCCCATTCCCCTAGGACGTCTATTTGATTAAGAACACGGTGCTTTTAGTACGTAACCGTGCGTTTTGATGACGAAACTAAAATCCAATTTTGATTTTCAAATAGCAACGTTAATATTGTTAAAATTCCATAAATTTTAAAAGTTTGAGTTTATATAAACTTCGACGTCGAGATTTTTTTCAAATCTTCTATGTTTAAATTTTTCGTTTTGCGAACAGGTGAAGAACACTATTTAATCTATCCGATGCTGTCGGTATAATCGATCTATACAGTTTTAAAACCGTTTCTTAACAATTCTGAATGCGAATTCCGAATAGAAAAAAAATATGTCTATTAACGAACGCCATGAAATGTCGTGAACGTCCTGCGTAGTTGCGTTATGCCGATCGCTTCATTCATCCTGTAGCCACTTATTATCATAACTCGGTGCGATAAAATAATATTCATTTATCACGCCGAGTCGTGTTTTCTCGGTAAACCGATTTCCGAATGCGGGCGCGTAACGCGTCTATGAATAAATAAAGCCGCGCCGTTCGGCTGTTTATCATATTTAAATTTGCACGGATTGTTTTTTTTTGTTTTTTTTTTCGTTTCGTTTTTATTCGTCGTTACGACCGCGGCGTAATCTCGCCGCGCATAATATTATTGCAATCTGAACGTCTGTCCGCGAACGTCGAGGGATAATTCGATGCGGCGGCGGCGGGACGCGCGGCGTGCGGAGTGGCCGCGAAAACCTCGTCGAGGGCCAATCGAACGGATTCGATTACCCGCGAGGTTGTCCGGTAGTCTGACCCCGGATGGGGTCCGGTGCGAGTCAATTACATTTGCATAACGAATCAGCGTAGGCAGGTACACGGCGGCGACATTAGGGGCCGAAATTCATCCGGCGCACCCTCATACCCTTGTCACGGGTTCCGCGAACACAAGCGCTAAGCGCACATTACGACGCGTATGCGCGCACACACGTGCACGCGAGGTCTTTTTACGCTCGCGGTATTGTCGGATTTAAATCGCCGCAACGGTTGGGTTAAAGCGGTTTTTTTTTTTTTTTTTACGCGCACGTAATACGTCCGTTTTACGGCCGGAACATCGTTCCGGCCGAATAGTTACGCCGCGGGGCTAACGGGTTCGTTGTACGCGATACACGCGCCCGCGGCCCGTAAACAACAGCGCCGTGACGTGGCCGCGGCCCGCGCAATACGATGTCCTTATAGTCGTGCGGAGTCGCGAAAATCGCCGGTAACTGTTCTACTATTTTTATCCCCGCGCCGGGAATTCGTTCGCTATACGTCCGTACGCAACTTTACCGGTTTTCCCGTACGTTTTTTTTTTTTTTTCGATTTTTCCTAATTATTATAATAACTACTTAAAAAAAAAAAAATCAAAAATTATCACCTTAACGCGTCAACTAAATTTATAATTCTACAAAAAGAGCTATCCCATCATACTCGTCGCTCAGAATCTAAAAAAAAAAATACAGCTTTTATATTATAACGAATGATACGTAGCAATTGAAACCACCGTAACTTAGCTGCAGGTAGTGATTGCCTGCAGCTAATATATTTTGATTTGATATATTGTAAAAAAAATGATATTTTAGTCGCAAATAAAAATGTATAGAATCGTATTTTTTGTCGAATTTGTGTATGAGACTATTACACTAAAGTGTGTCTGTTTTTTTCCCCGTTAATTTCGGGTAATTTTAGCGGCTCTCTCTGCACCAAAAGAGCGAAAAACTCGGGAATCAAAGTTATTGTTTTATAAGTACGGATTGAAGTGATAAAAGTTAGATTTAAATATGATTTTCGCGGCATTGTTACGGAAGAATTGGTATTTTTTAAATTCGAAAACTTTTTCAAACCCCCCTAAAGAATGCCAGTGAGATTTTGTATAATACACTAATTGAAATGCGTTAGTATTGTTAAGGATCATGCCTTAGGTGGATTTCAGTTTTCACGCAAATTTTTTTAAAAGAAATACAATTTATTTTATTCTATTGTAACTATTTCCTACAGAATTCCTATGATTTCTTACTCTATTATTGCCTATAGTTATTTATTGGCTTATAAAGAAGACTTCTGCACTTGGAATCTTACAATGAAGGCATGGGGGAAATGCACCTCTAGTGAAGGAGCTTTGCTGTTTACGGATGTTTTTACTTCAGTCGATTTATCAGTAACTTAATATGTTTTTTTTTTTATGTACACTGCACTGTGCTCTCTTATTTAACTTTTAAAAAAATAACTCGTCAACGATTAGCATGCTATTAGCTCGAATTTGCACGACTATAGCCGAAGTCGTGATTTCACGAGTTTCCCGAGGAAACCCGTCGTTCACTTTTGCGCATTACCCCAGCCCAAAAATGGGAAAATCGGTACGGTATTAAACAAATGTTATTAAAAGAAATGTATAAAGCCTATTTAATTATTTTATTATAAAACTGTATACATATTGTTGGCAAAGCATCATTATCGACTCAACTCTGCTCAGAATCGGTTTTTCGTAAGCTATGTTTTATTGTTGCTTACAGGTATACATTAAATTATCTATTATTAACTTTTGTTGATGTTTTTTTTTTTAAAAAAGTAATATGGGGGATGTAGAGTAATGTACGAAAAATAAACATTTTAAATTATTTTTTTAACTCCCGTGTAAATTGCGCAAAATCTTAGTCCCTGATTATCTCTTTTCGGTTGTATGCTAATGTAAACTTGCCATGTACGATGTTTATGCGTATTGTGTATGTTGTAAACATAACCTTTAAACATGATACCAGAGGGATGCTTGGGATTTGGGGGTATCACTACAAAACTTTTAAATTGTTAATGTATCTTACATAATTGTATGTTTTTTGGTACACACCTTGTAAACCAATATTTTTTTTATTTTATTGTACAGGCAGTTAGTTTTTGTACACGATCATTTATTCGTGTGCTTATTTTTTTGTACGAATTCCGAGTTCGAGCTTACACGGTTTACACGCAAGATTTCTGGTGGAAAATTTGTTTGCATACGCACGAAAAATAATAACGATGACGCATAATATGAAAATCTGACAATCCGCGCACGTCGAAACCAACGCATTCGTCGTTTCTCTGGGGGTCTAAAAAAAAAAAAAAAATAAAATAAAATCACTACAGGGAAAATGTTTTCCGCCGCGCCGGCCGCCCAAACACGCGCCGTATTTAGCCGTTTAAAACGGCTCGGCTGCGGCGTCCGTCGGTTATCGTAATAATAATAACGATAACATTACAATTACGATAACAATAATTTAACATCGGCCGCGGCGGCGGCGGCGGCGGCGTATAGGTGCACGCGGACGAGGCGGTGGCGGCGGCGCGTCGGCGTTAATATACACGCGCGGGACGACGGGAATAATAAATGTATTGTTATTACAGTGTTCCCGGGGAATCACGGCCGGGCGGCGGGGAGCGGGGCGCTGGAAAAGGGCTCGTGCAGGACCTTTTAGATATTTCGCCGGGAACAGATGCGCCAAACGACCGTAAAGTCCGATCGGGCGCACAGCGCGCCGCCGGTGCAGCCGCCGCGCCCGCCGCGGTCGCGGTGTCCCCGGTCCCGGCGGTATTCGCGCAACAAAAACCGAATACGACGACGACGACGATCTATTAATTGCGCAGTTCTTCGTCGGCCCGTTACCGCGACCTTTTCGATGTCCTCCCGCGCCATTCCCCCGGTCCGCTATCGTTCCGTGGCGTCCTGCCACCTCCCTCCCCCCCCTCTCCCGGCCGCCTTAACACACCCTCCCGCCGTCCCGTCCCGTTTCCGGAATTTCCCGAAAGCCTACGCCGTCGCGGTACACCCGATGTTAAAATACGCGTCGTATGCGCGGCGGAACCGGTGGCGTTACCGATTGCTCGACATGAACGCCTATTATTGCCCGTCCGTTTGCCCGGACACGATACGGTCAGTGGCGTGCGCACCACGCCGAGGCCGAGGGTTAAATTACTTACTCGTACCCGACGACGACGCGAACATGCATTCCGCGTTAAAAACCGAGCGTTTCTGTGTCGTATACTGACGGGGGACGAACCGCATAGAGAACAGTAAAGAAGTGCTTTAGTCGAGCGACACAAAGAGCCGATAAACTAGGGCGTCCCAATGTCTGGGTTTAGGTCTTGAAACTCATCGACAGAACGACAGAGGAGTAATTAAGAGCCATTGTTACAACGTCCGGCTAAGCCCTCCGCTAATTTATTTTAAACTTTCGTTAATACAATGTCCCAACATGCTAAATCTGGTCATTAACTATGCAGGTACCTACCTGTAATGGCGGTAACTTTTGGTTCGCGCTAACTTCTTTAGCGATAGGCCCTATAGGATGCATTATGATATGGAGTTCTGTGTAAATTCGTTTCGCGGTCGGTTAATTTAAACGCCTAATTCAATTATTAGCCAATTGAAAACGGTTTCACGGTTCGGTATTAATTATAACTGTTGGTGGTTAGTGTTAACAGTGCATTGTAATAACGATTTTCGTTTTAACTTGCCGTTAAAGTCTCCACTACGTTACACTGTACACCGCCAGCTTAACTGACAGTTAAAATTTAACGGGACATTGTACAAACGGAACTTACAATATTATCATGTTAATACGAGTAATATGATTGTATTACTCGCCGTACCGTATTCTCCGTCTCCCCTGTAGGTACGTTTCGCGTACATTCCGTTCTCATAACAACGGTATACTGATAATAATATTGGTGTGGGTATGGGAAAGCACCGGATAATAAAAAAAGGCTTATGATGTTTGTGTAGGTCATGACGTTATCGTGTTCAAGTCATATAATAGATCGGTCGTCGGTCGCCATTCGAACGTGTCGAATTTGATATTATCGTCTAGTGTAGTCGTGTGTTATAATGCGAATTTGGCGTTTACACACCTTAACTTCACAGAAATATCCGGCCAAAAGGTAAAGTGCCCGCGATATTTAACATAGGGAAGGAAACGTCTAATAACCGTCAAATTTCAATTTATTAGCCCGGGCAAATCTATTAAGTCGTGACGTAATTCGAACAAGGCCCTAGCGCTATAAATTTCGATGTTTAAATGATTATCATTTGGTTTAATAAAAAATACAAATCCGTCTACGAAACGAATGTTATTCAAAATAGCAATAAAAATGATAGTTTTCAATAGCCATACGAAATATTCACACGGAAACTAATAACGATTTATTTATATCGGAAAATGTGAAAAACCGGGATAAACGAAGCAAAACTCGGAAAATTGGTACGAAATTAAACAAAATGTTATTAAAGAAAATATACAAGGCCTGTTTAATTATTTTACTATAATATGACATATTTTTTTGTTGACAAAGCGTTACTATCAACTGAACTCCACTCAGAATCTTTTTTCCGTTGGCAATGGTTTATCGTTGCTTCCAGCTATATATTACCTATAACAGCTAGTGGCTACACCCGTCCCCATTATACTTGGACGTCTTTTCTTCTTTTTTTTTAATTACTTCGTTTTCATTTAGGCGTATTTGAAAATTTTCGAAACTTGTACAAACCGGAATTTCGTTATCGCGTCTGATTTCAAGGGAAACCGCAACAGTCCCTGTCGACGAATTTGTGCGAAACCGTTATCTTCCCGTCCGTATATCATAATAACATTATCTTTATTGCGGTCACGGTACCAAGATAATACGTATATTACAGTGTTTATTCGTATCGAATTCGCTTTTCGACCACGTCGACACAATAATAATAACATTGTAATATTTGTTGTACGCGCGAGTGTGCGACGTTATAAAACGGCGCCAAACGCACACGTTGTGTTTACGTCCGCGGGTGCATAATTTGATTATTGCACGTAAAAAGTTAACGAGATTTCGCGCGAGAGCGGTCTTTTTTTTTTTTATTAGCGACACGCGAAACGACGACGGAACATAATTTGGCTTAAAAACGGCTGCGCCATAGAATAATACGTAACGCGTGATACTGTAAAAAAAAAATGTTCGATTACTGCGGCTGATCGAATTACTGTTATACGCGAGCCGTGAGTTATTTTCTTCCGTCGACGTGCGCGTTTCACACACACGGCGGGTCGCGTTTGCTCGTTGAAATATGCACAAATCCGCTAAAAGCGTCGTACTTCGGACTCGTCGGACATTTTATAGCGGAAACCGATCGTTCGATTTCGTGAATATAATGACAGTATGCGACAGAACCCCGCGGGAAAACGTTAAGACTGCGAGACGTTTTCATCGACCTTTATTGCATAACATCTATACGGTCTCAGACGCCGATCTAGAGCACGGACCCGGGAGGGGCGGCAATGGTTTTTTTTTTTTTACAACGCGAATACAATTACAACTGTACGGGTAATATAATATATTACGGATATTGTCACACACGTCTGTGACTGGAATATAGTGATGTCGGGACCTATAGAATTATAAAAAAAAAAAAAAAAAAATTCGATAAATAATACGTCTTGGGTTCCTAGCACCTTCCCGCGAACCCGTAACGGCGCACGTACACGACGGTGGTCCATCTTCAATTAAAATCTCCGTGTAATATCTGAATACTCTACATTGTATATTTTACTGTAGGACGCGAGTGTAGTAACCGACGTCTCGTTTAGTTCGCGATATTAATAAATTAAATTTGAAAGTCACGATACGCCATTCGTTTCTATTTCGCGTTATAATTAAATTATTAACAATAACGTATTGATTTACGAACAAATTGTTTGTTTGATTAATATATTCGAAAATATTTTATATTAACCTTATTATCAATTTATTATAATTATAATTATTTTTTTTTTTTTTTAACAAAATTACGTGTTAAATTAGACGGATATTGTACTAATCGATCCCCTGTACCCGACAAACGTCTGTACGACATTGTTCTCTATTTTATCACTTCACAAAAACAACCATAACCTCCGGCTCTCATTCGTTCCACGAGGAGCGCAACAAACAATAATTCCCGTGTTTTTCAGACCACAAAAACGTTGTCTACTACCTTCACGGGGCGAAACAAAATATAATTATAGTTCTTTTCTCCGAATGTTATATGCCGTATTCGGGCATCGTACATAGGTATGATATTGCGGTTTTAATTTAATTAACGAAATTATCTTTTATTCATCTTAATTATATCATTTGGACGGCCGAGTTAATAGTATATCTCGGTGTTAAATAACGTCACTACGGAAATTATTTTGTTTTTTTCTCACACTTTAAAAAAGCACCAAAAGATAACATAATAACAGTCGTGTTTTGCACACGGGCGTTTTGCACGCTGTAAATTCATACCGACAATACTAATTCGTGTAATAAAATGTGTGTTCTCCATTTTTTTTATAATTCAACCGACACGCCGAAGACGAACAAAAAATATAAAAAAAAAAAAAAAAATCCTCTGTTAATTAAGATTCATATTTATCTATTTATTTTGCGTGTACCAGACTCGACATGACCCCGTCTCAACCAACCGACCGACCAGCAGTGGCGCTAATAGTAAATTCGTGACCGTAACTTTTTAGTCGTTCTTATGAGACGCTCTTTGAAAACTAGTGAACGAATTGGGGGTAATTGCAGTTATTTAGAAAGTGATTTATGATTTACGCTCGCACTTCGAGTTCTTCCTTAGCCTGTCTGTTGTTTAGGCGGAATATGCAAACTTTAATCTTCGACCGATTCGGCTTTAAAATTTTCATTACCGCCATAAAGCCACTAGTGATCAACACATTTTATTTGGTCAACAAAAATTAATTTTAAGCATACAATAAAATTGATTAATGAAAGGTTAAATCGCCATTTTTGAAAACCGGTATAGTATATATATATATATATTTATATATGTGTGTACACGGGGTTGGGGCCATGGTTTTAATCGTAATATTTTATTAACATGTACATTTAATACGAAAACAATTAATTAATGTTGGTTGAAATAATATTATCTTAGCGCAAAATAAAAAAAAAAAATATTGGCGTTTAACATAATAGTATTAAAATATTTATACTGGTCGGGGATTATTATTGTAACATAATATAACCGCGTCTAAAAAATAAATATAGAATGAAACTATATTATTATTATTGGTACATAATATAAAAGCGTCGATTTAATACTTTACAATATTTTCGAATGCATTCCATTATTAATAATAAACGTAAAAATGTTTTGAATATTTCATTTCACTACAGTACAGTGCCATTATTTTAATGCTTTTTGTTACGGACTAATTTTACTTTTAAAACAGTTTAAAACACATTAAAAGTTATTCATAAAAGTACACTAACTATACAATGTATATTATTATAACCAGTATACAGTTTATTCGTATAAATCGATAAACTTATTGCATTATAAGGCCGCGAACTCGGCGAAGAAAATATATAATATAGCCATAGAAATTTTCTAATATTGTCCAATATTTCAATTGTTTATTTCAATAGAACATTAGGAAAAAAAAATTCGAACAATCCCGCATTGGGAATACACCTTGTCTAGATGCAGACGAGTGAAATTGATATGGGCTTATAATACATATAATCTATTATAAATATACAGAGATCCGAATCAAATAAGATAATATGGTCGGAAATCTTCTAGATACAGATTATAGTTAGTAAATAATTATTTAAATTTGTTCAGATAAGATTAAATAGATACGAGGATTTCTATTTTGTTTGTTTTGTGATTCATAAGCGTGCGCAGACTTCGTCCACGAATTGTGAACACAAATTGCAGGCCCATACTCAAAGTTACGGAGAGGCAGGTAGCTTCTTTTCTTTTTTTTTTGAGGAAGGGGGGTCCAAAAATAAAATTTATATCATCAACTACCAATAATTATCTGGGCAAAAAAAATGAAAAAATAACGGATATTAATTAAAGTACTATTTAATTTTTAGTGAGGAACTTAAATTTCAGAGGGGGGTCCGGATCCCATAGACCTGGGAAAATCGGAACAGCATTAATCAAATATTATTAAAAAAAATATATAAAGCCTATTTAATTATTGTACTGTAAAATGATATATATATATTGTTAAAAATACATGACTATCAACTGAAGTTTAGAATCGTTTTTTTTGTAAACAATGGTTTATCGTTGCTTACGGGTGTACATTAAATTATGTATATCAGAGACTGCATCCGTCGCTATTATCCCAAGACGTATTTTTGTTTGTTTTTTGATATCAGTTCACTGCAAATCGTGTAACGATTCATTGGATTTATAATTTAGTGACCGTGTAACAATTGAAATATTTCGCTATACAATCACGAATCGTGTAGGTAGTACGTACACCTACGAATGTAAAATGTAATAATATTTTTAATTCGAACAAGTTACCCGGTTCGACTGCGCAAATTTATCCCAGACGTTAATTAATTTTAATAACGTCGACTGGTACTTAATATTGATTTCTCTTCTTATATAATACAACGCGTCGCCAACCTACGTGCCATGAAAAGTTCACACGTGACAATATTATATGAACGATACTCTGAACAAAAAATTATAAAACAATACAAGGTATGGCATTACGTTGTCTCGCATTTTCGATGTATAAAACACAGCGGAAATACGACCGCCCGTTACTATTTGTCGGGGTGTCGATTATTACACTATAATAGCATTGAATATTACATTTTACAAGTAAATCCGTGTTACCGCAGTCTAATCGAAATATATAATAACGAATGCGTATGTACTTTAATGTTTGATACAAGCACCTGCATACAGAGTATTCAGATTAAATCGTCATTGTTTACCCTGGGCACTGATCGAACCAAATTACATTTCATAATAATATTACAAATGATACTTCAGTACTTTTGAAAAAAAAAAAATAGAACGTTTCTATCGAGTTTATGTCACGCTCTATGCATTGCATTTTCTATACTGTACCGGTCAAAATGTGTTCGTAAACATTACAGAAATTAGTAATATTATCAGTTCATTTGTAATTTATTCAAATATTGCTAATAACATAATATACAATAAGATACGTTGACAATCACAACGAGAAATCAGGGTTCGGATTTTTATAACATTCGCTAATTATTATAAGATACAGATAAAAATAGCAAAATGTGTTTTACCTTTGTTTTATGCACCAAGGTTTCCAAATATGAAATTTTATATTTCTATTTTTTGCATGTTTAGCGCATTTAAAATTTTTAGTGTTTTTTTCTTTTTGGTGCTGATATGCATAACATGATGATTTACATTGTATTTTTCATAAAAAATAGAAAATGTGCCTTTCGGTGGTTTCAACCACAGCAGCCATACATAATATTGTAGAAGTATGTAAGTATTTGATTATTTTTATTGCTTTTCGAAAAACATTCCTATAAAAGAAAATTGACTTGTGATAATTCGCTTTTAGTTTCGAAGCTCTGCAGCTCAAATGTGTTTTTTATTTGTATACTTTATATAAATTTCACTTATAGTACATGCTTAGTTATACTCGTATAATATATATGCGTATTGTGTACTTAAAATAATAAACTACCTATACTCGTAAATGGTATAATATATTTCACACGATTAATCTGTGCAAATGCATTTAATACGGTTATAAGATAATTTACTGCGGGGGTTTTATATTATTTTGATACACCATATGGCACGGCGCGAATGGTAATTTCCGCAAAATTAATTGATTTAGCGGTAGTAAATTATTTCCAGATCGATTCATTAAACGTATCCACCTCTTAGTCTTTATTGGCCCGCGTTCGTTATAAACGAAGATTATTTGTAATCAACAGAGTAATATGCGACCAGTTTACGCCATATTAATGATTAATCCGATCGTAATAAGCGTCCGTCTGTAAACGAATCTCGCATAAAAGATCACGTTTATATGGAGTAAGACATTTAGTCGTTAGAAAAAACGATAAGGGGTTTGTAGCCATTAAGGTCTGCAGCAACATTAACGCTGGAAATAAAAATCCAAACCCGACACCAATCCAAAATAAATTGTAGTTTTTCTACATAAAAATCTCAACATCTTTAATCGTTGAAAAATCACGTTGGGTAAAAATAAAAAAGAGTGAAAATGAAAAATTCACGTGGTGGCAGTGATAAAATGCACATGAAACCTAACGTGAAATTATTGCGCTATGACATTAAAACAGTGAAATATTGTAGGTACTTAGTCATTTGTATATATTCTATCAACTGTATGGATATAATCTCTACCCCCGAATATTTTTTATTTTTTTTTTAAATGTTTTACAAATTTTAAAATCAATTTCTAAAAAGTGACACCTATTGAAATTGCTCGGACAAAGTAGGGAGGGGGCATGACCTCCGAGTTCTGCATCGTCCCCTCTCGGTACGTACGGCCACTCCAACAACCATCCCATCCTAGGACCGTTAGATTTTTTTTGGTCCAGCGGAAACAGCGTTAGAGGTCAGATTCCTTGGTACGGTAGTGGTAAATATCTCCACCTGTCACTCGGGAGACCGGAGTTCGGGTAGCCATTTGACGCAACCGTTCTCGTCCGAAAAATATAACCAACTATTATACAGCCGGATTATGCCGGGCGATTTTTCTATCACTGACAAACCCGGCACCTGACTTCTAACACTATTCGGGCGGTTGGGGGAGTAGGGAGTCGTCATGTGTACAGACGAGGGGAAATCGCGATTCTTAGGGAGGTGACTGCATCAATTTCACAAACGTTTGACGTTCTTCTTTTAATAAACAGTAAGAATTTCTGGAACTGGGTTTACTGCACTTGCACGTCCATTTGCCAACAAACAAACAAGCGTATACTGATTAAACAACATAGTAATAGTTTTCGTAGGAACATAATACCTGTATTGTTATCGTTATTACTGTTATTTGTATTGATTTGAGTTTGTCGGTACATATCACTGGTTTCGCAGTGCAGACCTCGTTCAGATTTTTCGTTTCATTTCATATTTCAAGGCATTGTTATTATTTTAAGATTCTGAGTGTAAGGCGAAAAAGCTTATGGTTTTACAAATATGTTTATTTTTTTTTTATTTTTTTTTTGTTCTATGGACAATTTTTCTACCAGATAACTTGCTCGGATTTTTACCTGTAGCACCTTTTCTGAAAGGAAATCGGTGTGGCGATTTTTCGATTTCCTCAACAAATATGATAAACCGAAAAAAGACATGGGAAAACTTGGAAAATCGGTACATTAAAAAAACATTATTAAAGATAATATATAATACCTATTCAATTATTCAACCTTAATATGACCTATATATATACTGTTGACAAAGCATCTCTATCAATTGAACTTCGCTCAGAATCGTTATTTCGTTAGCAATGGTAACCGTTGCTAATAGATAAACATCAAGTCGCCTATAACAGTGGCTGCACACGTCCCTATTATCCTAGGACGTCTTTTTTTTTTATGTTCGGTACATCTTGAAAAACGTTAGTCGCACATACGGGTTTAATAAATCGTATTATCGTTATGCGATTATTTATAATATAATACGCTGTCGCCAGTCGAGCCGGAGTCATACTGTTAGACCATTACGGGCTTTGTGTGCGTGCATAACACGTTTTGTAACTCACAATGTCATCATATAGGTACAGATAATAGTTACTTTTAAACAAATCCCTAAAAGGCGAAATCGTCATTAATTTCACTTAGACGTTTAACCGGCGGTGACGCCGGGCATAATAGTACCTATAGAGCTTCTTTTATAACATTTTCGATATTTTGTTATATAGTTTTGACGTCAGTTTTACGTATAACGAAAATATATTTTTTTCAACCTGTAACAATATTGATTGGACCGATTTTTTTTAATATTTACCTATATCTCCGGATATTGTTATAACAATATTGCGAAAACGTAATTACATTTTAATGGTTGGGTACATCAAGACGCCTATACCATATACCTACTCGTGTATAATACGGACGCGGTACATAATTTTTTTTAAATCAGCACGTAAACAGGTGTGGTTGCGTAATTTATGAAACGTGTCTGAAATTATAATCGGACGCTAATCTTTTCCTAACGTCACCTCTCGTTCGTTTCGGGCAATTTCTCCGAAAACTTCAAATTATATACCTATCAGATCTGCGGTCGGGTCACAAATTTGATTTAGATAATACCCGATATTATGTATCCCCCACCAAAACCAAAATATCCATACAATATAATATATTGAATGTCTAATTAAGTTTCGACGCGATAAAACAACATAAACACGGCGATTCAATTAACAGTAGGTGTTCGCAATAATAATAATTATTCTTGACACAAATAATAATTTTCGGATGCCATGAAAAATAAAATGTCGAAAACGTATTGCTATGATACAAGCCATTTGTAATGTCTATAATCGATTGTTCCTGTTTTATTTTTGAATAAGTGTGAAAAATTAACATCTTTTAAATAGGTACCAAAAACAACGGCGAATAGCAGAGTTCTGTCACTACTGTATAAAATTCCCTCTAGCAAACGACTTGTTTTCTTTACAATATTTTATTTTTTTTTATACATAATTCATCTAAAACAGTTATGATTTTTCTAGCTTTCTAAGTTTCCTAGGTTAATTACATTTTTATATTATTTAAAAAATGAAATTATAATTTATTTCTGGTGAGACAGTGTACATTTTTTAATATTTCAAACCATTTTTTTTTTTTTAACATAGTAATTACCTGTGCGTATAAATTGTAATCAAACGGACGCGTAATCGGCTTTTTTTTAATACAATATAGTTCACGATCTAAATACATAATGAGACGAAAAAACAAAGAGGTATAGTTAATCAGTTAGTTTACGGTTATTGCTTTTTTTTTTTGCAAGTTAGAGGGCGGAGAAGTTACAGTTGTTGACAAATTGTACGCACGAAAAGCGCGTAAAAAATATTATGAGAGAAAAAAAACGTAGACATTTACATAAAAATAATTTAAAACACTATGATATTAATTATTGCGCCTTAGTAAGTATACTCGTGGCCGTAGCGTCCGTCGTCAGACATAAAAATGACGAACACACGAATTTCGTCACTTTCTTATTTATTTTTATTGGATGTATACTGACAAATTGTAATTTTTCGGAAAAACTACATAATGCTTATTGCTTATACATCAAGCTTTATTTGTGCCAATACCCATATTACAGTGATCGGTGATGTTATGTTGTTGGCTACATGTAAACTCCTTCAAAAATCACCTTTTTATCTGTATTTAAAACACATTGTAGTCTCCTACATAATCCCTTTTTACCTGCCAAAAATAGATGATGTAATGTCCTACGCAGACATTTTTACATTTTAGATTTTGAGTGTAGCGAGGAATGTATATTGGTTTTACAATGATGTCTATTTGAGATGGTCGCACTTAAATGAGAAAAAACTTACGAATATAAGATATTAAAATGTAAAAAAAAAAATGTATTAAACATATTAATATAGGGTATCGTATCAGAAATTCTAGAACATTTCGATAACGTCTACGTTATTTCCGTAAATTGGAAATACAACAATCTTTTTCTCTTTTTTTCGTCATTCGGAGATAAAAGGCTTGTAGCATCCATACGAGTTATCGCAGAACAAAATAATTGAATAACTGTATTATTCCTGACAGTGTTGTTTGTTCTCTCGCTTTGTGCACGTATTTTTCGGTGCGTAGTTAATATTATTATTTCATAACACTTAATAATTTACTTATTTTAATAACTAGAAAAAAAAAATTATACTATAATATTTTTCTTTCGATCTTTGTAGTTTACGACTGATTTTTACTTAATTTAAAATACCTTATTTTACTTTTTACAACTTTCCGACTGTCTAGTGTAGAAGTTAAGATTATCTATTGTAGGAGTTAACACTATGTCAATTTAGGAGATTACCTACTTTTTTAAGTGTTTACCATACCCTATATTGTTACTTGTATTCAATTTATAGTAAACACCATTGTTAGACAATTGTGTTAAAGCTGGACAGAAAAACTAGTTAAAAAGTTAAAAGGAAAGTTGTAAGCCTCTTTTAGATTCTGAGTGGAGCGAAGAATCGTATGGTTTTACAAAGATAGATAATTTTTATTTTTATCTGTACGGAACTTTTCTACCGGAAATTTTGCTCCGATTTACAATGATTGCACTTTTTCTAAAAGAAATCGGTGTGGTGAGATAATTTTTCGATTTTCCCAAGGAGTTTTCTCAACAAATGCGTAAAACCGAAAAAGAACGGAGGAAAAACGGGAAAATATAAGAAACGTGGGTATCAGTTAAAATGTATTACATCCTTTTAAATGCGTGAATAACGAATAATATTATCGGTTCAGACTGTAAATTAGATATCAATAATAGCGTACTACGTTCGGCACGAAAACCAGACCGTTTTAATAAAAACTCTCGGGCACGTTCCTATAATATTAACATTTCATAGTTAATTGAAATTCACATTTATCGCATAGATTATTACATACCCACTATAGTTATTTATTATTGAAATTAAATATCCGGTCGATGGTTAAACTCAACTGTCAGCGAGTCGTTCGAAATATGAATTTTTTACCGTCATCATTATTAAAATCATTCGTCTATGGATGTGCACTCGTGCGGTCAGAACAATTGAAAGTGTAAAAATGATGGTCTCGTTTTATTAATTACTCATTGTACTACCGGTTGATATCTATTTGGTTTCGACTGGTTAGACGGAAAAAAACAATACATTTCTTGTTATTCGAAAACAATCATTATTTATTTTAGACTCCGAGTGTAGCGATTTGAATCCGTATATTTTACTACGATAATATTATACAATAAGTGTGCATTTTCCTCCGATAAACGCTTTTTTCTACTGTAAATTATGTAATTATCTGCCTACATCTCTATAGATAGATTTAAAAACGCATTTTGCATAACACCGTTGACGGAACGTTTGACACGAAGAACCGGTGCGGCCAGGTAATGAAACCGTGCGCGACGAGTAGATTATAAGGAGACGCTCCAAAATGCCAAGTCTCTTGTCTCTTGTGATTGTTCCGTAGCGGTGAAACCGGGGTCGCCGAGTGTTTCGAAAACGTTTAAAATTGTTCAAAAGTTCGACACGTTTTATACATAAATGTTTCAAATGTTTTGAACGATGAAAATCCAAATTAAAACAACTAAGATGTTCCGAAAAATGAAAATGTTTATATTATGTTGTTCCTATTAAATTCTGAAAATCAACATTTTTCCGTTTGGATAAAACAAGCTAATTTTTTGTTTAAAAAATAATTGTTATTTTGTTCTTAAAAAATTACCATAAAATGCTGTCTATTCACTCATAAATTCACTATTCAAAATACAATGATATTTGCAAAATTAAAAAAATGTTAACATGTTTGAAGCAAAAATATTTGTTAGCCATTAAAAACATAAAAAAAAAATCAAAACAAATTCTATCTTTTGAAATATGAGCGTAGCGAGAGAGCTATAAGTTTTACTAAGATGTTAATTATTATTTTTTTTTCTTAGTCTTCTAGTCCGTGAACAAGTTCTTACCTAGTAAACTTGCGCTGATCTTTACAAATTGCAACATTTCTGAAAGCTCAAATTGTCTAGATGATACTTTAAGGAGGTCATTTTTTTGATTTTCGTCGTCATTTTTTAATTGAAAGCACCTAAGTGGAAAAAAACATAAGAAAACGTGCAATTTAACGATATCGTTATTTTATAAAAGCTCGGACGGCGTTTTCTACCAGAAAAAAGGATTTAATCGAAAAATTACTAGATATCTTTTTTATCGCCTTTTTCATTTACATTTCATTTTTAATTTTATAAAATATCATTGCGAAAATTTTTGAGCTTTTAAGGAATTGTATTTTTGGAAGTTTTTTGTTGTGATTCGGTTATTAATAGATATAGAATATTGAAACTTGGTAATAATACTTATACTGGACTTACATAGAGGTGGTTAAATTTTGAAAATCGTCGAATGATTTTTTAACATTAATTAAAGCGTTTTGAAATCAAATTTAAACGAAAATCGTAAAAAAATTACGACACTTCAAATTATGTATTACCGATCCGCGGAATCATCTTTCGTCAAGCAATGGTTTATTGTTGCTTACAGATATAAATGAAATAACCTTATGTATCCTACCTTCCCAACTTCTCACCTACAACAGTGGCCGCTCCCATCCCTAGTATCAGGTCTTTTTTTTTTCTGCAACCGTAGGCGAAACGTACCCACAATATATAACTGCACGAGAGCCGTATATTGTGTAGTTTTTATTACCCTCTCGGTTATTTTGTTTTATTTTTATTTTATTTTTTTGCAAGTTTAATTGGTTCGCGGGTCTTTCCGTTTTGTTTTTTAACAACGTTGTTACGCACCCGTTCCTTAAAAATAATAACTTATACGTGTGGCGGCAACGGTTCACCGCCGCAGTTACGTTTAGAAATAAATTATAATGATACCTAGGTACCCGCCGAAATAATAATAATAATAATAATAATAATATATTCGAGGCTTGACGGTTTTCCTTTTTTTCGCACCGACTTTCCGCGGCCAGTCGTAATAATACCGGGCATATATTATAGAGGCGCGTATAACTGTTACACACGGCGAAATAATTATGTTTGTCACAGGGGTGGTTTTTTTTTTTTTTTTTTTTTTTTAATTGAGTTACCTACGTGCGAAACGGATTTCGGTCTGAGCGGAAGTAATTCCGTAAACAAAAAAAGAAATGAAAAAACCCTCACCAGCAGCGATTTTTAAATAATACGTTTACGGTGTTAGAGAAATTAGCATGTAGGTGTAGGTGTAATATACGTATAATTTCAAAGTGGCGGTAGTTTAATTGCGGCACTTTAAACCGTACAGTTACACGTCCGTAACGCGATGACGCTATGCAAATCGGTTGTGTTACATTTCGTTCGTTCGCGGTTTCAATACGCATTGCCGCGCGCGACACGTTCTGTACAAAATGTTTATTCCAACTCAAATTATACGATACGCGACTCGATTTTTTTTTTTTTTTTTTTTTCAATTCGATTGGACGTTACACTGGTACAATTGTAATTTGATGTTTATAGTGACTTTAACTATACACACGATTTTAACGACAAATTCGAGAGACCATTTGTGATTGTTACATACAACAATTGTAAATAGTCCTGTTACACTCCGTACATAAATATATATATGTACAATATAAAACATGTTTGCTACATAAATATTATGTATGTAAAGAACATGTTTTATTTTGTCGGCGTTTTAACGGTTTACTCCGGCTTCAAAATTATTTCGCGAAAACCGACGACAATTTACCGTATAGGTTTTGAAAAATAATCATAACATGACATAATTTGCTATCAGAAACCGCACTTAAGTTAACGATCGGAACCGGATTTCTTGGGAAAAAGTTGACAAATGAAAAAAAATTTGAGCTCAATAATGCTGTCATTAGAACCGTGTTAGGGTCATTAGAGTCATAGAGCCCTAGCCGATTTTGTCGCCGTTACAAAAATAATCATTTTTTTTTTTTTTTTTAATGATAAATTAGTAAAAATACGAATTCATTCTATATAGGTAATTGTATACTTCCCGAAATTTTCAATAACATACCATCTGTATGATTACGGTTGGATCGGGGGTCAGAAGTTCGAATAATTTTCTAAAGGCACATCATTGACGAAAATTCTATTATATATAAATATTTTAATAAATTTACTATTATTTTAATGAGTTTGTATTGATATTTAATAACCTTAGTTTCTTGTGAAAACGTGGAATCGTAACATTAAAAATGATTGGGGAAGAGACTGAAAGTTGAAACCGCCAAAAAGTATATCTTTGATACATAAATTATGGATAGCCGACATTTCAATGGTCATTCATTCAAAGGGTCTATAATGTTGTACGAAATTATATAAGACAAGATCCTCCTACATTAATATGGAGAAATGCTATCGAAATTGTATCATTGCAATCGAACAATAAAAATAACTCTAAATCCCAAGGAAGTGTCCAAATATTAGAATACAGAAACATTATTGTACAATAGTCTCTATTTTCGGGGAAACATACACACACACGCATCATAGTACACCCGATACATTCGGCAGGATCGAAAAACGAACCGTGAGTATAAAACAAATTCTAAACTATTAACTTTGTTACCGAGGAAACGCGATTAATAAAATAAGGCATATTATAGTACACAATTTTAAAAACGTCATTCTGGCGAACTACGGTAATTATTCCAGTTTTACGCCCTAAACCGCGAACACCAGGTGCTCATTATGGACGTGTAGGCGTGCATTTGCTATGATATTAATTTGGCCGTTTAAAACACGTTCGCCTAGGCAGGATGTTTTGCCGGAAACTGAAATTACAATATTTGAACAATAAATTAAGTAAATTATCGATCGTTACGATCTATATTATAGCATACCGGAATCGAATACCTTATAACTTTAGTCGAATCTATCGCTATCGACAGTGTCAGTATGAATTATACATCACAAGCCACAGGGATCGCATGAAAAAAAAAAAAAAAAAAAACGTTACTTAAAAATATTTCTCAATTCTCGCTAAGCCGCTAAGCTCAAAGACGATGCCTCCCAAACGCAATACGCAGACTAGAAGGAAAAACGGCAAAATCGGCGCAATATGAAACAAATAATTTAAAAGAAAAAAATATGATGCCTATTCAATTATTTTACCACAACGTAACATGTATATCGATGACAAAGCAACTCTATTAACTAAACTCCGTCCAGAATCGTTTTTCGTTAGCAATGGTTTATCGTTGCTCACGGATATACATTAAATTACCTATAACATTGGCTGCACCCGCATCTACTATCGTAGGACGTCTTTTTGTTTTTATTTCGGTATACAAAAAAAAAAGCCATTTGCCAACAGTCGTTGTGCCAAAAGGCTAGTGTTTATTAGTTTAAGCCATTGTAAGTCATAAATATGGCGGCGAGCCTGGGAAGCCCCCCATACCCAAATCGAGTACTTATCAAGGAAATACTAAAATATACGCACGGTGAATATTAATCAAAATTATGCGGTGTTATGCCTCCCCTAAAATATGTTCGGGCTATTCGGTTTTCTCCCTCCGAGTTCATAACATTGTATAATATCGTTCGACGACGAAGAAAAATCGTATAATTACATTTCCATATCATATTTTCAAAGTTTATAATATAATAATATACTGATTTATTATACGATCTATCAATAACATTATTATTTTAGAGTTTAAACAACGACATACTTTTGGTAGGTGCAGCACATACGCGGAACCCATCGCAGCGTTATACGAGTAAGCAGAGACGAGAGGTTTTTAATATTTTTAAAAGGAATTTCGTCTCGTTACTTACCGACTATTTTATCGAAATATACGTAATAATATTATTATATTTTATATTTCGTTTTTTCGGGAGCTTATAAAAACCTTTTAAGTTTATAAAATAAATGCAAATTTAAAATAATAATATAAACATTTCGTGGATTTCGAATTCTTCTTTAAACCGTCGTATTAATTATTCAACACGATTCCTGAAAGTGTCAAAGTAGGAGAGGGGAGGGGAACAATATTGATTAAATTAATTTTAAAATACACGTCGTTTATAATCATAAATGTAACCTCCCCGCACGGATCTGTTTTCGGAAATATTTTAAACAACGTCGTGTATCTGTATGAGCCGATTCGATAGAGTTTAAAAAAAAAACAAAAATTAGGTTCATAAAAAAAAAAAAAAAATCGTATTGTTCGATAATAATAACTGGAGTGGACACAGGTAGTTACTCTACAAAATAGATGAACTAAACATACTAACGTATTATATATAACGTACTTATGTTTTGTAAGTTTGGTACTGAGTTTGTTTGTTTTTCCGGTGACTAACCAGACGTGACCTAATATATTAAATTAAATCGGTTTTTTTTTTTATTATTATTATTATTATTATTATTATCCTCGGGTACTATAAAGTTTTATAATGTCAATATAAGTTTACCTACTTACCTATCTATTGTCTTGGGTCATATTATTATACCCATAATATAATATCGTATTGTTCATTATGGATTTATGATAGTTCAAAATGATAGCCGAAATAACGCAAACTTTCATTATACGAGTATTATAAAATATAGGTATTTTACCGCTAGATTTTTTTTTGTTTGATTCGATCGATAAACTAGGAATGTATTGGTTTTAATACGATGTAATTTGTTGAGTTTTTCTTTTCTGTTAACAATTTTTCTACCAGAATTCTTTGCTCCGATTCAAAAACTACAAATTTAGACACTTTAGTTAAATACACAGATCAGAAACGATCATAAAATCACAGAGTAACGATACGAACAGCGCACTTGTAATTTTACCAAAGACTATCTATAAACGTACCAATTAACGTATATTAAATGTTTATAAACAACATACTTCTCGCCATTTAAGCAAAACAGTGATAACAGTATCATTTGTCATAAGTGCGCAGATTCTCATTCGCCGATGAATCGAATCGGCTGTTGCTTTTAGGTTCTGAGTGGAGCGAAGTAGCTAACGGTTTTACAAAGATGTTTATTTTTTTTTTCTTTATCTTCGCACAACATTCCTACCAGAAATCGCATAACCCACATGTACTTGAATTTAAGCCCCCTCTCCACTTCGAACTACGTGCTTCAGACTTTCGCGTGATTTTTTAATTGATTCGCTATAATTTACTATGTTATTTTCAGAATTTTCATAGCTGTAGGTTTTCCGGAATACATTTTTTTTTTTTTTTGTATTGGAGGGGTCAACCCTAGATGTTCAGCTATATATTCCGGGATTTGAAGAGAATTCGTAATTAATGTTAAAAAAAAAAAAAAAAACAATTTTATTTCAGTACAGATAACTACCGCGTAATTATAATATTATTACCGTGCTCCCTGTGCGTATTACCGCGACGACGGGGCACCTGCTACCTCATTACTGTTATCATTATTATTATCATTGTCACTGCCGGTGTGTATACATATAATTAAAATGTCGTGTGGTTTATTGGCTCGCGGCCGTTGACGACGACGTGTACGCGAGCGCCGAATGCGAATTACGATTTCGGTCCGGGGCGCGGCGAGGTTGTGTCGGCGCGCGCGGCGAGTCGGACCGCGCGCGCTCTCGCCTGTACCGCGGGGTCGGTTTTCCGCGAGACAAATTGGCTTTCGGAAACGTCGGCGGGCGGCTCCGCGCGGGGAGGTTGTGAAATTATTTAACGGCCGCGACAGCACTCGCCGACGACGGACCCGATAGCCGGGAGCGCGCACGCCGATTATATCGTAATAATATACGGCGGCGATTATTATTATCGTTATCGTTATTGGTATAATTGTCGGGCGCGCGGTCCGCATTTCGAAAATCTGCAAAACCGACAGCGCCCGGAATCCAACATTATTTACAAACAATACGCTACAAATAACGGTTACGGCTTAGCCGCGCGGCGAGTCGTTTTCGAAACGCGCGCCACTCCGGGGATAGGTGTAGTGATTTTTGCGACCGCGAGTATTCGCGACACGTGCTGATAATCGGTCCGGAACGTGCGAACGAATATAATATCAGGGCAATAACATCATCATGTCCGTTGACAGCCCCATACGGGAAATCGGTTCGCCAATTATAATTGTAAACAAAAAAAAGAGTGCCGTAAAACGGTTGTAGGCGACAAGTCGGGGAGGTTGATACATAACGTTATTTAATTTATAACTGGACGTGACGACAGAACGTTGCGAACTGACTTTCCGGATTATGATATTGGAAAATCGTTTAAAAAAAAAAAGAGGGACATTCTTCTTCTCTGACTAGGCAAAATTGTCTTTCAAATAAATGCTCTCGTAAAATTCGAAGCAAGATTTCTGGTATAAAACATAAATCGAAAATAACTGAAACCGATGTTGTGCACATTTTCCCGTTTTACATCACGATTTTCACATTTGTTGAGAAAACTCCAAGGAAAATAAAGAATTAACTTCCTCGATGGACTCCTTGACGATCAGACTAAGATTTCCAGTAGAAAAGTTGTTCATAGGCAGAGAAAAACAAAAACTTAAAAAATAAAACTAAAAAATACATACAAATTCGATTATTGTAATGTAATAGAAAATTACGTATTTTTTTTTTTTTCTTGGTTTTATGTTTTTTAGTTTTTGAACAGTGCTTTATATATAGACGTATAAAGAAAACTATATTAGTTTTACGACGATGTGTATACACAGGTCGGTATGTTTATTTCTCTGCTCAGAAAATACTTTTTTTCAGGACGGTAAAAATATACTCAAAAGTTTCACTCGGCGAGTTGTTGTTTTTTTTTTTTTCTGACAGATAATTGGACACGGGAAGTATAGCAACCTATGCTGGGCCGGTCGTTATTCAAAATTCCAGAAAATCGTGTAAAACTGGCAAATAAAAAAAGGGATACTTATGGGAGTGGCTACGTTATTATCGACGAGAAATTATTTTTAATGTATTAATAAAAATTTAAAACGTTTACTCAGTAACGTACTCAAGAGGAAGAGATAAGGAGTTTCGGCCAATCTCCATAGTTGATTATTTTAAAATAAAAGATGGGCACGACCGAATTATTACAATCAAAACTCAACGAATTCAGTTATGAAAAAAGAATCTGTTCAAATTGTTTTTGTTCGATCGTAGGAAATACTATAAGTATAGTTTTCCAAAATGAAATTATTCGAACGTGGAACGAAATGTTCGATAGTTCGTCTAAACTATCAAACACCATCGATTGTATAAACTATTTGTAAGTCCTATCACTAATTTAAATACAAAATAGTGTCACATAAAAACTATGACATTAATAAGTTTTTCTTCAAATAGGTACTCGAATCGCAGTCACTGAAACTTAACTAGGTATACAATTCAAATTAATAATACCTAGGATATAAATTTTACAAAATAGCCTCGAAAAAATAAAATGATTACACAGAAAATATAGATTTATTTCGATTGCACTGTTATATGTTAAATTTTAATTTACTATGTTTTTAGCCTTTCATCCCCCGTTGAAAAATCTTGGAGGTATACGTAATAAATGACTCGGAGAATCGGTTTTTTTTTACCGATTTATCGTCACGACATACGTAATATTATTTTTTTTTTAAATCACGTCCCATTCGTATTTTCCCGCGCTGGCTTTTTTTTTTTAATATTCATATACCGTTAACTATATATACAAAGAACAGTTGCGCATACTTTAGAATATACCTGCCTCCGAGGGATTTATAGTTCGGTCACAAAACTTGTATGTAGATGCAGCAGTGTATACGTTTTCTCAGTATAAATCCCAAATATACACATATAACGGGACGGACGGGCAACGTTTATGTAAATATC